GGGGAGGGGGGGGGGGGGGGGGGGGGCGTACTCATTTGTTGCTTGCCGTAGTCATTTGACCATTGACCACGCGTCCCTTTCGAGACGGAGCACCGTTCCTACACCTACTAGAGACACCACCAACAGTTGGGAGCTCTTTACGTTTCTGCCACAAACTCCATAAAAATTTCTTGCACATCTTATCCCCGTCCTCTAGGGCCTCTTGTGCCCACCATCTATCCCCAATTATCGCGATCGTTTTTTCGCTGTTGTCTAATTTACCAAACTTGTCCATGTCACACCCTCTCTGTCTCATTTCCTCCTCGAGATCCTCTCTTTCCTTCCTGTACAACTCACACTCCCCAACTATGTGGGGTCTACTCTCCTCCGATTTGCCACATGGACATGTGTGTCTATCCTCCTCTTCCTCTCTCCTACGGCTGGTGTACCTCTTCCTCCGTTCTGGCAAGTCCAGATCGCCTACTCGAAATTGCAATTTCAGCTTTTTCGCATAGTCCATGGGTCCGTCCAAGTACTTCTTCATCCCTATCCCTTCTTTCAACTTCCCGTATATCTCCAAGTGGTCTTCGCTTCGTACCTTCTTCCGAAGGGTTGTCTCCTCCCTACTCTCTAGCATCTCCTTGACTTTCGTCTTGAACCCCCCGAACCCTTCCGTGTCCAACGTCTCCTCCTCGTCTCCTATCTCCTTCCAAACCTTCTCTACCACCTTGTCCCATCTGATTCCCTTCTTCCCTGGAGTCGCTTTTCCCCAAGCTGCCTTGTCAACCATGGCTGGTAGTCTATCGTCCGACATTCTACTTACCTTGTACTGCCACTTCAACTTCTGCATGTCTCTCTTTGTTTTAAGAGAGTACATTCCCAATTCTGCTCTCAATACAGTGTTGCTCGTTGTGCTTGAACATCCTAGTATTTTCTTGGCCGCTGCCATCTGCACCGTTTCCAACTGCTTGACGGCCTTTTCGTTACCTTCCCATATCTCTCCTGCATACTCTAGCTTAGGTACAATCACCTTCAAGAGAATACACCTCTTAATCCTAGTGTCTAGGTGTGGGTCCGTAAGGATCTCATCCATCTTGCCTATCTGAGCTTTACCCTTCCCAATCAACTTCGCTATGTGTGCGTCCCATGAGCACTCCTTCGAAATCTCTACTCCCAGGTACGTATACTTTGTCTACTACCGGTAGTTCTTCCTCCCCCCATTTCCATTTGAATTCTACGGGATTTTTCTTATCTTCGTTACAGACCACTACTGCGCATTTTCCTACGTTCGCCGACAGTCTCCATTTTCGGGTGTATCCTACCGCCGCATCTATTTGTTCTTGCAACCCTTCTGGTGTTTCGGATACCCCCACGAAATCATCTGCAAACATCAGTCCGGACACACTCTTTCCCTCTACTTGGACTCCCTGTCTTACTGCTTCAACCGCCCTTATCAAATCGTTGATGTAAATCTTAAAAGGAGTGGGTGACATCGTACAGCCCTGTGCGACTCCTTGGAGTATATCCACGTACTTCGAAATTTCCCCATCCAACATCACCGCACTTCTTGTGCATTCTGTCATCTTTTTCAACATCCTCCACATTTTCCCCCGGATGCCGATGTCCCACATATTTTTCCACAATCCATTGCGCCATACGGTGTCGTAGGCTTTTTGTATATCGAGGAAGAAACAGTATGTCGTACGCCCGGCGTCTTTCCTACCTTGGATGATTTTACTCAACGTATATACATGGTCTACACAACTACGATCTGGTCTATATCCAGCTTGTCCTTCGCTGATCTTTTGTTTCCCCTCCAACATGTCTCCCATTCTATTGTCCATCATCTTGCCAAACAGTTTCCCCACTGTGCTCAACAGGGTTATCCCTCTATAACGGGGGGGGGGGGGGGGGGGGGGGGGGCCCTTTTTTTTT